TTGATCAGTTAACATTAGGTTTTTATATAATAATATATATATATATATATATATATTTATAGAACAGCAATGATACTGACGGCCCACCTGATGGAAAGTGGTAACCGTCGCCTTTAAACCTGAACAACAACATGGGCAACATAATATTATGTATGTGGTGTGATACTGGCTATCATAGTCCTCCTTTTATATTTTTATACTGATTTCCTATTTTCTCATGTTTTTACAATTCCAATATGGAAACATAAACACTATGTTTATGTTTTCCGACTAATGAAGAAGAGATAAAGAGAACTACAATATCAAACATTTTTATTACGAGTATGAACCTGTTTCTCTTAATATACCTATGTAAATCCCCAATCCCATTTAATTCTCAATATCTCAATTTTTTACCACGGATATCGTAAGTTCAAATGTGGTCGACGTTAAAAACTCCGTGTGTTCTTTTAAATTTCTTTCCAACTCACCGCTGGAGGAAAATAACAGAAACAAGTCATTTAAGATTGTATTCCACAAACAACAAACCGACTTGATTTGTGGTCAATATTTTGATTTAAAAACGAAACTACTAGGCCGATTTTGATAAAATTTCTATTCTATGGAGCCAATCTGTAGATAAGTATATTCTTTTAAATAAAAAATAATTGAAATCGATTTATAAATGATGGAGTTATGAGGTAATCAACATAAAAAACAGTTAAATTAAGAATTTCCTTCTTTTTAAAGTCAGTTGATTAATCTTAAGAGAAACGCGTTGATAAGAAAAATACTTAATATTGTAGTTCTCTTTTATCACGTCTTCATCGGTAGGAAAACAGAGAGAATAACATGACAGAATTGTAAACATAAGAACAATAGAAAATCAATATAAAAATATACAGGACGGAATATGATGGCCAGTAATATAAAAGGCGTATTATGATGGCCAGTAATACGCCACAAATCCAAGTAATGGATAAGGTCGGATGCGGATTCCGCTTCCATCTGTCAATAACTAAATCAAATTATTGACAGTTTAAATATTTGATCCTAATAAAAAATTATAAATATTTAATAAAAAATATTAAATGTTCTTCCCAGTAGCGCATGCCCTTAACAAAATTCCAATGGCGGCGCCATCTTAAATTACTAATTAGAAGCTTCGTTCCACCAAATCGCGTTTCTGGAATTTCTAAGTGCATCGCTACACGGGCGGTTCAACCGTCAAAGGTACGTAAACGGTCGCAGACAAGGTGCACTGTGCGGATTTTCTCGATTCTTTCTATGCAACTTAGAATGTTAAACAAATTGACGACTCACCTAATAGAAATAAACTAATAGAAGCAAACAATCGTCTATAAACATGTACAGCAGTTTTTTTTTTAATAGATGAAAATGGAATGGTGATCCCGCCCACGCTATCGGTATACACCGACGAGGCACCAGTGAAAGATGATAGGTGCGAATGAAAATAGGCCAGTTAGCCCATCATGATGAATTCATCAGGAATTAACCATGATAGTTTTCAGAGAGAACCGCGAGGAGGTCGACCTGGTTGGGTATATTGCTAGCAATGGGATTCTCAGTGTCCATTACTAACAATCCCTTTCCCCAAACATAACAGGATTTGTTGAACAGTTTCCAATAAGTATAATGTAGTACAAAAGACGGTTTTATTGCTAAGCAATCACTTCCAGACAACCTTTAGGTAGAAAGAATTAAAGAATAAATAGGTAGATGGCACAATAAAAAAAAATAGATCTAAAAATAAATTTTAATACTTTTACTGTAATTGTTTTAACCAAACTTACATGAAAGCATGCAATTATGGAATTAAGCAAGTGCATATGACGTAGTGTTTCTCACTATTTCTTCGTTGTAGAGGTAGTGACTCTTGTTCAGCGCTCGTATCGTGTCGCTTGTGGTCTCTTGTGCAGCGTGGTAAGTAAGTTCTGGGCTGTTATCAACTTTGGTTTGACGCTGTATACGCCCGTCTTTTTCTTCCCGGCTTGAATTTTGGCGGGAAACTTGCGATATACTTGGTAGAATACAGCGTTTGTACAGCGGAAGAAACGCCCGTGTGTCGCTAACCGATACCTAATTAGCTGTCAGATAATAGTAACACCTACCATTCTATTCGATTTCTATTGTATTAATCAAATGATTGTCTTCCCAAACGGACGGACTGTATTTTATTAAGGATCATCATCATCATCATCATCATCATTTCAGCCATTATCCGTCCACTGCTGGACATAGGCTTCCTCTATAGACTGCTATAAAGAACGGTCCTGAGCCACCTGCATCCACTGACTCCCTACAATACACTTGAACTCGTCACTCCATCTAATGGGGGGTCGTATTACACTGCATTTGCCCGTACGTGGTCGTCACTCAAGAACCCTTCTTCCTTGTCGGTTTTTGAGATAAATGACCATTCCATTGCGACCTCAACTTGTTTATCCTTTGGGCTTTATATAACGATATTTATATTTGAATAAACAATAAGAGATAGATATAATATTTTTGCAAATTTAATAATGCAATACATTCATTCAATTTTAATACCGACCTATACTTTCATCATCATCATCTTAGCCTTTAAGTGTCCACTGCTGAACATAAGCCTCCCCTTTGGAGGGTTTTGCCAGTAGTTGCCACGCTTGGCAGGTGGATTGACAACCGCAGTCGCCTCTTACGACACCCACGGGATAGGAAGGGGTGATGATATGCTTTTATACATTTACTTTTAAAATAGAAATTAGATACTAACTTTAGGTGTTTTGGTACAAATAAGGTTGATATCTGTTGGCTCGACAGAGGAAGACTATGGTATATCTGAATAGAGGTTTCAGGTATACCTTTTTTAAATGTCCATTCATCATCAGTTAAGCAATTTAACAGCGCAACTGATGGTAAAAAGTATCGTGACCTATGGTATATCTGAATAGAGGTTTCAGGTATACCTTTTCTAAATGTCCATTCATCATCAGTTGAGCAATTTAACGGCGCAACTGATGGTAAAAAGTATCGTGACCCATAGCCATGAAAGTCACCATGGGCATTTTTTTTATGGATGATAATGGAATGGTAACCCCGCTTGCGCTATTGGTATACACTGGCGGTGCACCAGTGAGGGATGATTGGTAAGGATGAAGCAGGTCAGTTAGCCCACCGTGACGAATCTAACAATAAATCAATCACGATGGTTTCCACGGGGAACCACGAGGAGGTCGACTTGATATACCCTATATTGCTAGCAATGGGGCTATTAATCCCCATTACTAACAATCCCTTCTCTCCCTTACCATGGGCATTATAAAATATACAGTGAAGTGGCGCAGTGGTCTTCCTTCATGCGTTACCATTTCTAAGGACATTAGGGACCCCGTATCCTGTAATTTTACTGTCCTTCAAACCACAGAAAACACAGCAGATTTTTTATTAATTTACAGAAGTAAATTATTTTTATCAAGGTCATCAGCGGTCAACAGTTAACGGCAACTATTGGGCCCTGATGACCTTGACAACAGTTAAAATAAATTAAACACGTACACAAAATGTAATGTTGCTTTATTTACACTAAATACATGATTAATTACATTTCATGTGACATTATTTTTAAATGCAATAATAAACGTTTACTTTTTTAAGAATACTCATATTTTAATTTTTATGGATAATACGTTTTTTTATACAACTTAATATGGCAAATAAGCTGATGACCCACCTGATGGAAAATGGTTACTATCGCCTATAGTATATATATAGTATCTCGCGCCTGGGCTATTGGTAAACACTAGAAAGCGATAGCATAAGGTCTTTTTTTAATGGTTTATAATGGAATGGTAACCCCGTCTGCATTATCGGTATACGCTGGCGGTAATAAAAGGCCAAGTTAGTTAAGCCATCATGATGAATACGCTTGAAATTCAGCAGGTTTCCAGGGGAGCCACGGGTAAGTCGACCTGATAGGGTATATTGTTAGGTAGTCCGCATTACTAACAATCCCTTCCCCCCATTAGCATGAGATCAAGTCTGTTGGCCAATCACCAGGAATTAACTGATTGACTGCGTGAAGATCGATCTGATAGAGTATATTGCTAGCATTGAGGTCGCTTGTCCCCTAATGTTAAGAATTTATTTAACAACGTAATCAGTGTCTATTTTCTTTATACCTAAAATAAATGTTGTTTTTGTTAAGCGCGTCGCCTGAGAACGGATAGTAAGATTTGTTCTATATTTTTTTTTCTAATACTTAGTCCGATTAATATTTTTAGAAGGAAAATAGAATATGAAGAGAGAAACTAGATAGATTTTTTTTTTTAAATTAGACGAAAACAATAAAATTTACTTGAATTTAAATTCATACAGCAGAAATCTCATTGCTGTACGACTTCTGACAGGCGCTCATTGTATATCCATTTATTATTTCGTACTGATGATATTAAATTCAACATTTAGAGTTTCCAACATAAATTTAAATCGAGACAATACTAAATATGTTAATATTGAAATAATTTAAATGCAAACAGCGTAAACCGCGCTCTAAATTAACACTTGAAAATTAATTAAATTTACAATTTACATGTTATTATAATACTTTCCAGTAATTTCAATTTACAATAATAATATATTTGTATATTTTAATAAACTTATAATTAATATTCATTAATGATAAACTATTTAAGTTGCTGGCGTATAACGTGATTACCAATCATGTGGTTACCATTTACTTAACAAAAGAAAATTGCAAAACAATTGAATTACTAGAAATGTAATAAAATTTTCAAGCATCTAGTAATAATTGCGGAAATCTATATTCTTTATATACAGGCTTATTACCTAATACAAAATAGATGAATTACCAGGCATCTAGTAATAATACTGTGTTTTATTAACCCTACATACTACAAAAAGGATACATTATTAGAAGTCTGGTAATAATCAGACAAATTACTAAACATGTGTAAATTTTAATTATCGTTAAAAAAATGGACACAGGCGTGGTGGATCGTAGTTAATCAAAAAAGATCGTGCTAGCGTTGAATCAACGACTGCTATAACATTTATTATGTCTAGATAAGGCATAACATAATAATAGGGATCATAACGTACCATTGCCCCTTAAATACTTATACATAAAGGGGGCCTTAGAAAGCCCTTTAATACGAGACTGTTTGATGCCGAAGAAACGGCTGCTCACGTAATTCTAGAATGTACAGTTGTGGTACCTCAACGTTTAGAAATTCTCGGAACAGTGAGGTTGCTCCGTGAAGCCTGTGATGATACCAGGAAGCTTCTGTGCTTCTGGGCGAAACTTGGTTGACTTTATTAGGCGTGACTCACACATATAAACGCTCAAATTAGAGAGACTTAGCACGAAAATGGAAGTCCAATTTACAACACATTACAACACAACATATTACCGAACATGTAATAATAGTAATATTTTGTTAAACCTACATATTACAGGACAGGCAAATTACTGGGAGTCTGGTAATAATGCGGTGTCTCAGTAAGCGTGGTGGCTCCGATAACGCCCCCTGCTGCCACTAGCAGTAATCTCCGCCGGCGGTGGTGGCGAAGCAGTGACGTCACACTCGCGAAGCTACGCTCTCCACGTCTGGGGAAACCTAGTGCTAGGCGACCATCCGGACGCCGTCGTACCCCCACATTGTGGACCGCATTGGAACATGCCACGCTGAGTGTATACGCGTGAGTTGGCTGTGAACAAAATGATCATTATCAGCTTAAGCAGGTTGAATTGATACTTCCGTGAATTTAATCATTGCCAAAGGGTTGGCGCGCTGGCGGTTCGCGTCCTACTCGCGTTCTATTAGTCAGGGCTTACAAGCTACAATCAACACTATCCGTACTAAAATCAGATCTGTAGTATTTTTTTAATAGGTGATAATGGAATGGTAACCCCGCCTGCGCTATCGAGATACGCTGGCGGGGCACCAGTGAAGGATGATAGGTGAGGATGAAGCAGGTCAGTTGGCCCATCGTGACCAATTCAACAAGAATTGTTCACGATGGTTTCCAGGGGGAACCACGTGGTGGTCGACTTAATAGGGCATATTGCTAGCAATAGGGCTGTCAAACTCAATTGCTTACAATCCCTTTCCCCCAGATCTGTAGTGTTAAAAAGGCCACCTTACACAAATCATAATATAATATATTATATTTGATCTGCCGAATTTAACGGTCCTCTCGCGCAGAAAGCGTAAAATTAACTGTACATTTACACCGGCAAAACAAATCCTATTATGATTCAGGTACCTCCAATGGAGTTTTAAACCCCCTGATATATCAGTTTTGCCAGTAATGGAAACCACAATGAGAGCGTGAGTCTCGCTCAGTCATATTTCGCATTAGCATGTCATATCGTAAAGTTATTTATTAAATTTGTGACAACCCTCTCAAACTATAGATACCTTTTACCCGCAACTTTATCCTCGTGACCTGGATATGACGTGACGTGGACGCTTGACTGAAATAAAAATAACCTATGTTCTTCTGCATTCTACATTCCATATGATATACTTGTACTATATCATACTATCACCAGAGGGAGACTTTGTACAAAAGTCGATTGCTTGGGTACCTCTGTCCCATTCGTGTTTCTACCGTGAAGCAGTTGTGTTTGCATGCCTGTGTTTCTGTTTGAAGGGTGGGATATGGCGTGAATTTACTGGGTACAAAGGAATAACATCTGAGTTCTTAGGAATGGCAACGCATGGGGGGTATCATGGGCGAAACAGTATACTCTGTTATGTCCATGGTACTGCTCATGTGTATAGGCGACTGTTACCACTTTCCATCAGGTGGGCCGGCAGCTTGTTTGCCAATCTAAGTTGTATAAAAAAAAATATGGAATGGAGAAATTTCGTATTGTTTGGTCAAAGTGTTAAAGTCCTGAGGGGTAAAAAACAAACTTACTTTCACCCTTATAGTATTAATAAAGACTATATTCATAAACGCACTTGTTTATACACCCTCCGTGCCTTAATAACATTATTCACCTGCAAAAACAAAATGCTTGTTTTACATTACTTTCCGTTGATAAACAAAGTCAGAAGCTTGCAACAAAACACATTAGTAAACATGGGACACAAATTCAAACCGTTGGCCTATTTAAATAAAGTTGTTTATCGTCCGCTTCAATTCAAATTCAACAATCAGGGTACGTTCGTAATATTATTTGTTCACAAAACTGTTTGAGAGCATGTCGCGCCATGCTTAGTGTAGAGTTCCGTAGTGGTTACGACAAATCATATGAACAAATCCTAATACTTGATTTTGCGCATTTGCAAAAAGAAAAAAGGTAAAATTTTTGTATGTACATCGTCTTATATACTCGTAGTATATATACTATCTCTGCATAGTATAAAACAAGATCACTTCCTGCCATCTATACACATAGAACTTTTAACTACGCCACAGATTTTAATACAGAGTGCCTAACATGAAATATTTTCCGAAATTTCGGAGCCAAACGAAACAGAAATTTGATGTTAAAATCACATAATACATGCCGTTTGGAAATATTAAAAATGTTAAAATATTGTCCCTTTCATCGAAAACACTGCCTAATCCATATGAGATATGACAAAACAATGTATAGTGAGATTGTTTCACGTTTACAGTTCTACAAAACAGTCCAGGATGGCATATGTCTGTACCTACACTATATTACTACACCTATTTGTTTCTACCGTGAAGCAGTCGTATTTGCATGGCTGTGTTTCAGTTTGAAGGGTGGCATATGGCAGTAAATTTACTGGGTACAGAGGAATAACACCTGAGTCCTCAGGAATGACAACGCATGGGCGGTATCATGGGCAAAACAGTATATTCTATTATGTCCATGGTACTGCTTATGTGTATAGGCGACGGTTACCACTTTCCACCAGGTGGGCCGTCAGCTTGTTTGCCATTCTAAGTTGCATAAGAAAGTCTATGTAATTCATATTCGACGCAAAGAAATGTGAGCATATATACTCAATTCTCACGCGAAGCCGGAGCGGGTCTCTAGTATACTATAACTATTACTTATACTGTGCTATCATATACTATCTACAGTATGTTATACTAGTATATTTGTATTTTGGCTCCGCCAAAAACAAGTCATCTTTTTTATCCACGTGTGCGTAAATAGGGTTTTTTTTTTTGGTGGATGAAAATGGTATAGTAACTCCGCCTGCGCTAACGGGATACGCTGGCAGAGCACCAGTGAAAGGTGATAGATGAGAATGCAAACAGGCCAGTTAGCCCATCATGATGAATTCATCAGGAATTAACCATGATAGTTTCCAGGAGGAATCGCGAGGAGATAGACCTGGTTGGGTATATTGCTAGCAATGGGATTTTTAGTCTCCATTACTAACAATCCCTTTCCCCCTGCGCGTAAATAGGGTTACCAGTATGTAAAATTAATACTAAGTATATGGGGGGGAAAGGGATTGTTAGTAATGGAGACTGAGAATCCCATTGCTAGCAATATATCCAACCAGGTCGACCTCCTCTCGGTTCTCTCTGGAAACTATCATGGTTAATTCCTGATGAATTCATCATGATGGGCTAACTGGCCTGTTTTCATTCTCATCTATCATCCTTCACTGGTGCTCCGCCAGCGTATCCTATTAGCACAGGCGAGGTTACCATACCATTTTCACCCATAAAAAAAAATACTAAGTATATGGGAGAAAATAATAACAATGCAAAATTCGGACGAATGCATTTGAGATAAATTCATTGTTTCTGCCCACCCTAATGGCAGACAGGCGTGACAAATTTGTATGTTTGTATTGATAATTAAAGAATTTCAGAGACTAGACTATTGCTATATAATATATATATATATATATATATATATATATATATATATATAGCAATATATATATTTATAACCTACAAATATTTTATTATTTTAAGTAAGTAGGTATATAATGTTTTGTTAAGAGTGGGACTGGCTGAAACCAGCGCTGTGCAGCTGTTCACATTGCGCTGGGACACTTACAGCATCAGCTGCGCCGGTTCCTTTTGCTGAGTATGGGACACTTTTTGTATATGTTGTTTATATTTTATATTGTAATTGTATGACAATAAATCTTTCTATTCTATTCTATTCTATAAGGATTCTCCGTTTCGCTACGGAACCCTAAAAATGCCTGCAGTACGTTATTATAACCGAAACGCAATAATATTATGAAACAAATATGATTCCCCTCGTAGGTACAAGTCGGCCACTGAGGCATCTAAGCACCTTTATTAAATTTTGTTAGAAGTACCGTTAGCAGGAAAACATTTAAACTTTTTTTTATACAACTTAGAATGGCAAACAAGCTGACGGCCCACCTGATGGAAACTGGTAACCGTCGCCTATAGACATGAGCAGTACCATGGACATAACAGAGTATAATGTTTCGCCCATGATACCCCCCATGCGTTGCCATTCCTGAGGACTCAGGTGTTATTCCTCTGTACCCAGTAAATTCACGCCATATCCCACTCTTCAAACCAAAACACAGCCATGCAAACACAACTGCATCACAGTTGAAACACGAATGTGACAGAGGTACCCAAGCAATCGACTTTTGTACAAAGTCTCCCTCTAGTAAACTATTTCTTGTCTTAGAAATATTAAAATATATATCCACGGCTATAATTCTTTATTAGGTACTATTGACATTCTGAATAATGTAACACTCAACCTGCCCATATTTCGTCAAATATATTTGAATTCAACGTGGCAGAAGGCGAGCCTGCCGCTGTCATTTGAAATAATTTTAACAGTGTTTTCTATCGCCGGAGAGATAGACAGAAATTAAATAGATACCCAAAACCTTTGGTATCTATAATTCAGGGTAAATTAATACTAAATTTTAAACTTTCGTGCCACATGTCTTATGTTTCATAAGAGGTGACTATTTAGGGAAACTATGGTATTTTACCTATGCACGTTTGCCAAGCGTAGCAACTACTAGCAAGGTTCCCCATAAGGGGAAGGCTTAAGTTTAGAAGTGGATGGACAGTTGAAATGATATTGAAGTGTACAATATTGTGTTCGCCGCAGATCGAAACTTGACCGAGTGAAGTTTCGATTTCAGACACAAGTCTGTTCCGGAGCTCATCGGTATGTGCCTTGATCAAAACCTCTTTTTTTAAATACGAAGTCCTCTGAATTGGCTTATCCTACAACATCTTTATAAGCGCACCAAAATACAAAGCAAATAAATACAATCATTCTTATATCTTTATATGCTTTCTAAATCACAAAGCTAATGATAATTATTTGCAAATGATCCAAATAAGAATTTAAAAATGTTTATTGAACTGACGAAATTTTATCTTATGTATTACCCAATTTTTAGGAACGTCTCGGTATTTTTGACTTCTGTTTCTAGCAGGTGAAAATTGAATAATTTCTTCGAATGCACTATATTATCAATGTCGCACTTTAGTCTCTGAATGTGCCAATTATTTTTTTTAATCTAATGACCAGAGTTTACTGATGGGGCAATAAAGTTAATTACTAACCTTCTTTAAATGTCTGCACTTTATAAAGATTAGTTGGTGGAACGTCATTAGCATTAAGCCAGCTTTTTGTACCACGTTTTATTGGTCAATAAAGTTTAAATCTTATTGATATAATAAAATTGTAATTAGAGGATGTCTGTATGTGGTAGATATTTAAGAGGAAATATATGGCAGAATCGAAAAAGAGAAAAAAACCTGAGGCAATAATTATTTTAATGTTTTGTCTGATATCTTTATATTTGTTCCAGTACTATGCGAAAACGACTGCACAAAATTGAATGTGGTTTTTGCAGTTTTATTCTGAAATGTTTTATTTAAAATCTCGAATATATTTAATCTCGATACGTCATTTAGAAGTAGATAGCTACTTAAAATCCATACGAAGTTATGAGCAATAGTTAATCTAAATTAATGCATATATTATAAAGAGACAAGATTTTATTTTCTGTTTGTAATAATTAAAGAAAAAAGTACTTAACCTACTTTAAAATTGCGTTCGCTTATAGAAAGCCAGTAGCTTTCTATAGCTGCAATACTAAGTATCACGTGCGTGTCACCCCTAGTGTTGCAAGCATCCATAGGTTACAGTGACCGTTTACCATCACACTGGCTGTATTTTTGTTGTTTTTTTTTTTATACAACTTAGAATGGCAAACAAGCTGACGGTCCACCTGATGGAAAATGCGTACCGTTGCCTATAGACATGAGCAGTACCATGGACATAACAGAGTATACTGTTTCGCCCATGATATCCCCCATGCGTTGCACTTCCTGAGGACTCAGATGTTATTCCTCTGTACCCAGTAAATTCACGCCATATCCCACCCTTCAAACCGAAATACAACCATGCAAACACAGCTGCTTCACGGTTGAAACACGAATGGGACAGAGGTAGCCAAGCAATCGACTTTTGTACAAAGTCTCCCTCTGGTTGCCATCGTCGTGGTATTAAAAAGATACATTATCAGCGAAAGACGTGGGCTGTAATTTATTTAAAAACAAAAAGTACAAAGTACGATACAGTAAATTATATGTAATTATAGATAGTATGTTGCTTTTTTGTCTGACCGTACACAAGACACTTGGCTGCCGTCTCATCGATGCTGCGGCCAAGAAAATCAGATTACTGGCGGTACCTAGATGTAATGCAGTGGCCAATAACTAGGTGCTCGGAACTAAGTTCCGTCAAGTATCTAGCTTTCAACTGATAACTACTTGTTACTTGATTCAAATACATACAAAGAGGGGAGGGATTGTTAGTAAAGGGGAGATTAGTCCCTATTGCTATCAATATACCCCATCAGGTCGACCTCCACGCGGTTCCCCATGGAAACCATCGTTGATCTAACGACCCACCTGATGGAAAGTGGTAACCGTCGCCTATAGATATGAGCAGTATCATGGACATAACAGAGTATACTGTTTCGCCCATGATACCCCCATGCGTTGCCATTTCTGAGGACTCAGGTGGTCAGGTATAGACCACGATGGGCTAACTGACCTGCCTTCTCATCCTCGCCTATCACCTCTCACTGGTGCCCCGCCAGTGTATACTGATAGCGCAGGCGGGGTTACCGTTCCATTATCATCCATTGCAAAAAAATACATACAAAATTTATTTATAAAAACAATTAACTTTATGTCCATTTTTTAAAGATATATGTAATATATAGACAATAGCCAACTTGGTAATAAGATTTAAGAAAATATGATGTATATCACGACTATATTCCCAACTAGCGGCCCGTCCCGGCTTCGCACGGGTGGACATTATTACATTTTAAAAAGTGGCCATTAAGGCTGCACACGCGACGGAAGCTTAAAAATCGAGTAACTTCTCCCGTTTTCCCAACATTTCCCTTCACTGCTCTGCTCCTATTGATCGTAGCGTGATGAAAAGTACACTATAACCTGCCCAGGAGTATGAAGAATAATTTTACCAAGTTTCGTTAAAATCCGTCGAGAAGCTTTTGTTTCTATAACAAACATACAGACAGATAGACAAAAATTTTACTGATTGCATTTTTGGCATCAGTATCGATCACTAATCACCCCCTGATAGTTATTTTGGAAATATATTTCATGTACAGAATTGACCTCTTTACAGATTTATTATAAGTATAAATTACACACACAGTAAGTGTTAATAGGTGAAGATGGAGTCAGGCCAGTTGGCCCATCAGAGGAGGCACTTCTGCCCACGATCATCTAACTAAAAGTGGCATACCTTGTTTTCTTTGTTGTCTAGGCTCATCAACAGAGGGAGATTTTGTACAAAAGTCCATTGCTCTGTCCCATTCGTGTTTCAACCGTGAAGCAGTTGTGTTTGCGTGGCTGTGTTTCGGTTTGAAGGGTGGGATATGGCGTGAATTTACTGAGTACAAAGGAATAACACCTGAGTCCTCAGGAATGGCAACGCATGGGGGGTATCATGGGCGAAACAGTATACTCTATTATGTCCATGGTACTGCTCATGTCTATAGGCGACGTTTACCACTTTCCATCAGATGGGCCGTCAGCTTATTTGCCATTCTAAGTTGTATAAAAAAAAAAAACAAAAATTGCCCAGGAGGAGGCCCAATCTATAGACGACAGTTACCATTTTCCATAAAATTTACCGTTTAGCTTATTGACCATTCAGAATTGCATATAAAGTGCTCACTTGGCTAGACGGCCTCAGTATGAACATCCCATCAGGCTGTCCCATCAGCAGATTCTCCGCCTCGGCCCGGTCTATGTTCATGTAGTAGGGCTCGTTCTCGACCGGCACGGGGAGGGGCCGGCCGGCCATGTTGGTCCGCGGTCGTTCCTTGCGACCCTCCTCGCTCGGTGTGCACGCAGCCTTCTCCTCGTCGTCGTATTGAGCTGCATCGTTTGTTTCTGGCCAACAATTAATAAAATTATTTTATTGAAGTACTACCTTGTGCTGGTGGCTTCGCGAGAATTACTATTTCATCTCAGTGTTATAAATTATGGCTATAAAAAATCGTATATTGGTAATCCTATAAATAAATAAATAAATGAAATTATGTTTTTATATAGATAGATAGATAGATAAATAAACATTTTATTTGAGCCATTTATGACACACGTAAATTAACAAATGAGTTCATACAATCTGATTATTTACATTTTATTAAATATAAATCAAAAGATGAAATATGGAAATATGTTTTCGCCATGTGTGGTCGCAGTGACCCAAATAGGCTACAGCTCAGTGATGGTTTTGCTTAAAAGCAAAACACTGATTTTCAGCTACAGCCTGAAGTTAGGCTACACGGACGCGTGCAACAAACCCAGAGTGTAACCTGTGTAACCAATTTAACAGCCAAAGGTAAAATTGTATTATATAGATACATACTTACATAAATGATGCGTAAATAATATATTTCATTAATTAATTAAACATACAGTATTAATAATAATTCACCACAACAATTATACACATTTATTATATTATACACAATTATACACACATTATACAATATTCTAAAACAAGTGGATTCATAGTTTTACAATTTGATTTTAAAGAATAACGATTTGGACTCCAGACTGTATACTATTCGGTCCAAATATGCCATGTACTACACAATTATTCCAGCCATCCTCACACCCTCCGATCCAAATGGTCGTGCACATTTCGATTTCAGAGTGAGCTCCCTTCTGCGAACACTCAATTTGTAAAATGAACGTTTTCCCCCAGAGACTACAGCATGGGCTTCTTTAAAAATGGCATAATAAGGTTTGTTAAGGGTCGCAACGAATGCTAGCGTCTACAGCAGGGGTTCCCAAACTTATTTTGTCTACTGCCCACTTTGAGAATATATTATTTTTTAGCGCCCCCATTTTTTCACCTACTTAAAAACCACTTTTACTTCAAGATCAACAAATCACCCCCCAAGCCTCTACACAACGCCGCCATTTTTTTTCTGGTTTCTTACCACTACCCCCCTTAAGCCTGCAGTGCCAACAAGGGGGCGTTATTGCCCACTTTGGGAAAGACTGGTCTATAGGCTGGGGTAACCGTCTACTATCAAACGGGATGAATACTTATTGGAGAAACCATTGGTGTTGCATTCTACTAGATAGAATAATCATTTACCTACCATTAGACGAGCCGTATGCTTATTTATCAACATCTTGATATAAGGAAAAATAAATAGTATAATAAATAATAGTACTTCGTGCAAAAGTGGTACCTTGGCTTGGGTACCTTTATCCTATTCGTGTTACTATCGTGAAGTAGTTGTGTTTGCATGGTTGTGTTTCGGTTTAATGGGTGGGATATGGCAGGGAAATGATAGAGTAGAGAGGCATAATACCTTAATACTCAAGAATGATAACGCATTGGCGAAACAGTATACTCATGTCTATAGGCGACGGTTACCACTTTCCATCAGGTGGGCCGTCAGCTTGTTTGCCATTCTAAGTTGTATAAAAAAAAATTAATTGCTATCCATACAGGCTTTAGTTACAAACACGGTCTGCGAGGCTCACTTCGCCAACTTTAATACTACCGGCTTAAAACCAAACCCCTCTAATAAACACCTACTTCCAATAAGTGAAGATCAAGAGTAAGTTTAAAAAGTTGTTTTCTCGGGTGTTTGTTACAAGAGCACTCCCAACTCACAGGTAAACTTCTCAACTTCGAGTGCAATCTAACTGGTCTACCACTTCACGTCTTATTGAAGTGTTTGATAGAGTCATTGATATAATTAAGGATATTGTTTCAAACGTTTGAGCCGATCGTATGAGAGCGACGCATTGTAGTGTCCAAAATTAGCACTAAAATAGAAATAGATCTACGCCTCGATGACACAACAAACATGACGATAACTCCAAACAAAGTTATAATCGTTTTTATTAAATTATCAAATCGTAAAATTAAGTATATATGTCAACATATTTATTATTTTTTTAATAGAAACATCTATAATGTTTCCTTCTATTATTGTACGCACACTGCCCGCTGGTAGTTAATGCTCCTTTCCACTCAGGGTTTGCTGGAAGAGAACTCTTACAGAGTTAAGCACGCCTGTTGTACATCTTTATTTTATATATATTATATGTTGTAATTTTTTATGTACAATAAAGAATAAATAAAAAAATATATAATAAAAATAGATTTTGATCAGCAGTGAATTGTTTAATTTAAGTAGTATTTAATTGAAGTAAACAGATATACAAACAAGGCATATTCATTGTGCCACGAAACTGCTTCGCAATTTGTCTGCAGCTCTACAGCTTTATACATACTCTTATCTAGCTATGAACTTACATGCATTTTTTTATTATTATATTAAATGTAACATGTTACTGTAAAAAAAAAATAACAAAATACACAGAAACTGTCTATAACAATAGCTTTCGGGGGGAAAGGGATTGTTAGCAATGGAGTTTGACAGCCCCATTGCTAGCAATATATATATTAGGTCGACCTCCACGTGGTTCCCCCTGGAGACCATCATGAACAATTCTTGTTGAATTCGTCACGATGGGCTAACTGACCTACTTCATCCTCATCTATCATCCTTCACTTGTGCCCCACCGGTGTATACCGATAGCGCAGGTGGGGTTACCATTCCATTATCATCCATTACAAAAAAAACACATAGCTTTCTGTTCTATCGGCATCTTGAAGATAATATGTGCGTATTAACAAGGGTTCTCACTGGACACTGCAAACTAAACAAGCACACGGCCCAACTAGGCTTATACCCTAAAAGTGTTTACAGTATTACATAAGAATTAGCAGGGAACTTAACATTTCTCAAATGTAATACAACACTATTGTGTACACCGTACATAGCGTATAGTGTGTTTTCTAAGTGTATTACCTCACATGTTGTACATAATGTAATTAATTTCGGATTGAAAGAAAAAAAATATATATAAATATTTATTCAGTGCTTAATTTCACATAAAAAACACATAATAATAAAAACATTTAACAATAAACAAAAAATAATATTAGGAATAAGCACTAAAATGGTGTCACTGGGGGGAAAGGGATTGTTAGCAATGGGGTTTGACAGCCCCATTGCTAGCAATATGCCTTATTAGGTCGACCTCCACGTGGTTCCCCCTGGAAACCATCGTGAACAATTCTCGTTGAATTCGTCACGATGGGCTAACTGACCTGCTTCATCCTCATCTATCATCCTTCACTGGTGCCCCGCAAGTGTATACCAATAGCGCGGGTGGGGCTATCATTCCATTATCATCCATTAAAAAAAAAAATGGTGTCACTCAGCTATGTGCCATGTTCTTTTGAACATGACGCTGATTTTCAGTGGCAATAATTTATTAATTTATTAGAGAACACTTAAAATAAACAATATATATATATATATATATATATATATATATATATATATATATATATATATATATATATATATATATATATATATATATATATATATATATATATATATATATAACTATTATTTATTTAATTTTATTAATTTTATTATTATATATATACTATTTTTAACTTTATTTTAGCAAGACCTAGGAGAAACGTGATACATGATATAATATAGTCTCACATGCAATTTATAATTTAGACTAAATCAATATCCGCACTTACCTGTTACAACGTCGGTGAAGCAATGTAACAATCGACAAAAATTGTCGATGACAGCATCACCGACCCTCGCCGCTAAGTTGTAAGCAAGCGGTGCGCTCACTTTCAACCACCAACACATTGTGAGGTGTACAACAATCACTACATCACGGTATAGTGTTACAATACGTCACTACACTATACACGAAGAAGTGTATACGCACTACACTACACATGTTACACAACTACACAGTGTAATTTTTAACTGTAATTACATTTTAATGTAATGTTACAATTACACCCGCAATATTGTTGTACAATATAATCGTTAATTGTCATTATATTACAATGTAATACTTTGGCACTACATTATTTACCAGAGGGAGACTTTGTACAAAAGTCGATTGCTTGGGTACCTCTGTCCCATTCGTGTTTCTACCGTGAAGCAGTTGTGTTTACATGGCTGTGTTTCGGTTTGAAAGGTGGGATATGGCGTGAATTTACTGGGTACAGAGGAATAACACCTGAGTCCTCAGGAATGGCAACGCATAGGGGGTATCATGATCATGTGTGGATATCTTTTTAATGTCCATTGTAGAAAAAAAAACATAGCTGTTAAATTTTTTTTTACCATTTTTATTTTAATTTTGAACATGAATTATATCATCTTGATTTATTTTACCAATAAAAAAAAAACATGCAAATAAGGGTTAAATTTTTTTTTATACCACTGAGGTGGCAAACAAGCATACGGCCCACCTGATGGTAAGTGGTTACCGTAGCCAATGAACACCTGCAATACCAGAGGTATTACGCGCGCGTTGCCGACCCTGAAGAAACCTCTTTACCCCCCTTTTGAAGAACCCCATGCTGTAGTCTCTTGGGAAAATCTCGGCAGGAAGCTGATTCCATAAACTATGCTATTTTTGTTTTTTCAACGCCATCTATTCAATTTAAAGAAAATTAACTCAGTACCACTAAATGGTACAAAGAAAATCTGTACAAAACAACTAGAGACGGAACAATAAAGAATAATATGAGATAAAATAACAATAAACGATACCAAACGAGGGGAGCAGCGTTATGGTGGCTGAGAAATAATTTAATTGCACTAATTAACAATGTCAGCGCCCGTGACTCGTCGCTGACTCACGCACAACTCACACTCTGTGACAACTTCAAATTAATGCAAATTGAATTTCATCACAGACTATGAAACTACAGTGCTTCAATCAAGTTTAAACTTTCGCTTCGTTTACACGTATTTTAAATGCACACTGGGAACTTAACGTGGACAATAGAGATGCAAGTA